TATATACTGTAGCTGTGCTTCTGGATTATATTTATTCTGTTTTTTGATCATTTCTCCTCTAGTGCCATCGCCACTTACGACCAGATGGGAACAGGACACATTTTTGACCCACCTGCTTTCCTCCGCTCTGTTGGTTTTTTTCTTGGCGTGCTCGTTGGTTCCTTCCTCCTCGGATTCATGTTCACTGTAATAACAGCCCTCATATCCTTTCATCCTCTTCCGTCTCTCCACTCCAGACTCAGTTACAAACTCTGCATCCGCAGCAATGTAGACACTTCCAGCACTGGCTGAATAACAAACCTGTACTGTACCCATTCATCAACAAACACAACAGGTCTGGGTCTCAAGTGCCTTTATGACTGATGTGGTTTTCCATCATTTATTTCTGTACTTTAGGCTTTAGGATGAAAATTATAAGGTTTGAGGCAGTACTCTATTCATATTTATATACGGTCTGATTTTCCTGTGCAACTAACTCACAAAGTGAACATTTATTGAATAGCAACAGACTGCTCTTTTGAGCTCTTGCTTCAAGCTGTAAACCCTTAAAAGCCACTTCTCGCAGTGAAGATAAATTTGTTAATTTGTCCAAGTGCTTGGAGATGTCAGTAAAATGAGCAGCCAACACCTTATTTTAGCCTCAAATTCAAACAGGGTTTCACATGTAGAAAACTTAAAAACCTCAGCTTTTCTCTGACACTAGCTTTTAGTCAGACATTATTAACTGATCGCCAACTGAGTCTGTTGGAGGCTCCTTTCATCTCTGGCTGCTCTCGTTCGATTTCAGCTCAGTGTGAATCTGCACTCGTGTCTCTTTTGTCTGTACCACAACTTTGTGTGTAAGTCTCATCTGCTCATGGTTCACTTCAGTGCTGTATTTGTTCTGATAAACTCCAATGAGTGCAGAGTACTAGAAGAAGAAAAAACCTAGATCAGCGAAGGTAAGAGCAGAGAATGGACTGACAAAGTGAAGACTGCTTACTCGAGCTTGTGACCTACTTGTTTGTAAGCTTTTACTGCATTTATAGTGGCGTAAGTGTTGATCAAGTGAACATTTTTAGGCTGCAGACTAGGAGGACTAAGAGGCTCACATGCATTGTTGTGGCTCTCCAAACACCAAGTTTCACAACCCTAAATTCAAACATCTAATTAAAATAAACTAATCCCAAAAGTAGTCTGTCATTTTAACAACTTTATTTATGCCTTAGGACATTTTTTTTTAATCTAAGCATCTAATGTCAAGAAAATATCAATTCATCCATTCAACCTTTATCTATACAGGTAAGTCTCATCGAGTCATGAGGACTCATTTACAAGAGAGACCCGTTTTCAACAAAGAACACAGATAAGGTACACACAACAATAAACAGCCATAAAATGCATATAAAATGAAAAGTAAATGAACGTGGTGATATAGAAACAAGCTACATTATGAAAAGGGGTAAAATAGGAGCATGTCCTACTCCGCTCCTGTTTCCTGGAATATCTTGAAAAAAGATCTGACTTTCTCGACGTTGACTTCTCTAAGTGGCTTTAAGCATCTGTTGGACTCCTGGCAAGAACCAATACAGACATATTCCTGTTAGTTTTCTACATTCGCCTTATAATCTAGCTGTTTTTACTACAATTTTTTCCATCTTATTTTAATTTGTAAAAAAAAAAAAAAAAAAACAAAAAAAATCTGTATGCCTCTTTTATGATTGTCTATTGGTGTTGTTGTCATCACGCTTTGTTTAAAACGGGTCTCTCTTGTAAATGAGTCCTCGAGGCTCAATGGGATTAACCTGTCTAAATAAAGGTTGAATTAATGTCTGCATTTAATGGCTTTAAATCATGTAATTTGCTATTTCCTAGGAGAAAACAATATTATAAGATAAACATGCAAAAAAATGCATTAGAAAAGTTTGCCACAATATGATTTTTTATTTTTTCGAAATTAGGGAGTAGGAGCATTAAGTCCAGTTAAGATGATTTGGCATATTTTTAAGACTTACCAGTACCCCCGTTAATTTTAGTCTATAGTATGTGGCTATATTACTGATATTAGTGTTTTGATTAGTATCAAGGCGCTCTAGCAATTAACAAAACTGTTTATTTTTTAAAACTATATTTCTAAATATTTTCAATCAAGTTCACTAATCTGAATGAAGTAAACATATACAGTACTACCTTATTGCCAAGATCTTGTGGATACATTAAGACAAACAATGTTGTTGTTTTTTTTAGATACTCATGGTACTGCACGTAAACAAAATGGTAATATTTAGGATTTTGTTGCAAATTATAAGGAGGGGGGTTAGCCCCAAATGACCATACCCCTACTAAATTTAAATGGTAAATGATAAATGAATAAGTTTTAGTAATATAAAACTATAATAATGATATTTGAAGTGCATTTCTGATTCACTAAAAATAGTGTAATCATAGTTGTCTTTTCACTATTGTAGAACATTCAATAACAATTCTAAGATATTCTAGGACACGTGCTCCCCCTACTCCATGTTGCATATTTAAATTGCAATTGTAGTCTACAAAGGACAACTCCAAACTCTGGCTCTATAGCTGCATTTTTACTATTATTTTGTTCTACAACTTTAGAAGCAAAGGGCAATATGGATCTTATTCATTTGGTTTCAATTTTCAGTTTATCCCACTGGATGTCATTGGTTCCTGAACTTGAACACCAGTCAAATGTGTACAAAATAGAAAACCCAAAGAAGGAAACAAATGTAAATCTCTTTTTTTAAATCATTTTTCTGAAACAGTGTGCAAAGCCCAAGCATTTTGCTAGGGAGCTTAGCTGCAGGGTATGTGAAAATGTCATGTGGGGAGCTCACAGGAGGGGAAAGAAATCTCATTAACATCCAGGGGTTTCACTGTATGGCATGTTCTCAGGTTTACTGAACACATTAGCTGTTTTGGAGTATCTCTGTTTTCACACTGCTGCATTGAAATGAGCATGCACAGGTTTGTACTCTAGATGCTGTGTCAACCTTAGCCTGTTTCAGAGAGATAAAAAAAACTTCATAACCACCGTTTTGAACATCTTTAACTCTCTTCCCACCTCACCAAATTCACTCGACTGCATGAAAGTCCTCTGCTGGAAACATCGGTCTTCTTCCTGCTGTCCTGGAGCAGCTTCCTCTCAGCCGAAGCCTGCGGACTTTCAGGTGAGTGTGTGACTGATGTTATTTGTGTGTCTGTGGCCGTATCAGTTCTCTGGGTGAGTGGTAGGTCAGACTGAATACAAATCCTGTTAGGCCCTTTCCCCTCAGGCGTCACTTCTCGGCTGCATGCTCTGACTTGTATGCCGCCCCTCAATATGAATCACACAAGCAGCTGTTTGCTTGGCATGCTCTGAGGCATCTCTGTAGGAAGCTTGAACTTCAACCGGGAATGATGCTTGATGTAGAAGCATGTTCACTGGATGCATGCACATAATTCCTAAAAACATGCAAACTATTGCAATAAAGCTCATTTTAACGTTTCATTTTTGACATGTCAACAGATAGCTAAAGAAATTAACAGTTTATCATCATTTCTTCCTCTGAGTGTTTAGGAGAATGTGCAGAAATGCCAATCCCATTCCCTACTGTTTCTCTATCCCTCTATGCTTTGACCCTTTATTTGAAATTGTATGACATAGTGGTTAAAATATTCCTGTACAAAATGGGACATCTCATCAAGAAATCAATGCCCAAATATGTGACACAGAATCCTTTTACATGAACAAATGCAACATCACTACACCCATTTATGGCATGTGCACTAGTTATCTTTGCAACAGATATCGCCACACGACATATTTTTATAATACTTGTTAAGTGTGAGGATTGTCTTTCCTTGTGTTCATTTCCTCCCCGGTTGCCTGTTCTGCTCTCCTGTGTTGTCCTCAGGTGATTAGTTTCTCCTCTACCACCTGTTCATCCCTCGCAGGTGTTTGTCATTGTCCTCGTTAGTGCACGTGTATTTAAGTGTGCGTGTTCTGTTACTCGTCAGCTGGTCATTGTCTGGTAATGTCCCAGTTTGTCTCCCCGCTCAGACGCTTCTGCTGTCACGTCGGCTCTTTTAGTTATTTTATCTTCTGCGTTCTCTGAGTCCTTCCTGCGCTTGGCTTCATCCTGCTCCCAGACCCTAACGTTAAGAAAGATTAACAAAAGATGCATCAGAATGCACCAAATTACACATTTGAATTGTAAATAACAATTTGACTGTAACGTTATAATTACTATTTATTGTACTTGTTACCGTTAACTATATCAAACATTATATATAAGAATATATCGAACTGGACAAAACGATGATTAAAACTAAATAATTTAACAGAAAAAAATACTCATTTGTGAGGTTCTTAGCTAGTGTAGTCCCTGAAAATAGCTCAGTTTGAAGTTTCAAACAGCTTTACATCTTAACCGTCCACTTATATTTCTTCTACACCGGAACTTAATCCCTTCATTTGCATGATTACTCGATAAGGAATATTTAGGATAAGGAGTATGAAGGTGTAGGTTGAGTTTTTCCTCTAAGTCTCACGTAATAATTGTTAAAAAATCCCCCCTTTTTGGGGGCTTAGGATTTAAAATCTGTATAATTTCATTTTTCTTATAAATCATATTTCACATTTTACAGATTTAAAAAATATAAGGTTTTGCTTGGAATGTAATACATTTGTCTTCCTCTATGCTAACCATTACCTTCCAATATTTGAATATTAATGTGATGCTCATATTCAGGAAATGTTGCTCTATCAGAAAGATTGTCCTCAATCAGCTGTAGAGCGCTCGCTTGCTTGACAATTTTCTCTGTGGCTTGCATATGAAAAGAATGCGGTTGCTAATGAAATACTTTGACCTTTCTCTATTGGGCCAAGATGTTGTGTTTATGAAATGCATTGTTCTAAGTGCTGCCCAGTGAAGGAGTCAGATACCAAAGTACGTCACAGGACAGTGATTCCTGCTGCTATTTGATGCAGACTGCTAGTTTTAGTATAATGTAGGCATTCATACACATTTTTCTTTTTGTGTTAAACCCTTCTTTTGGGTCCCACAAGGTTTGATTCTTGGACCCCTTCTGTTCTCACTCCATTTGTTCCCACTGGGGTCCATCCTGAGGAAACATGATCTTTCGTTGTATTGTTGCTGATGATTGTCAGATCTACCTGCCTGTAAAACCAGCAAGTGTTTGCTCCATTCACCCTCAGTTAAAATGTCTGGACGACATTAAGGCGTGGATGGCTTCAAATTTCTTAAGTTTTAATGATGTGAAGACTGAAGTCATTGTCTTTAGCCCTAGCTCCACTGCCGCCACTGATCCTGTCAACCTGGACTCTCTTCAGCCATATCTTAAGCAGTCTGGTAAAAATCTCAGGATGGTTTTAGACTCTGACTTCAAGTTTGACAAACAAATCAACTCTGTTCTGCAAAAAAGCTTCTTCCAATTAAGACAGGTAGCTAAGCTCAGGCCAGTGTTGTCCAGACCCGACCTTGAGAAACTGGCCCATGCCTTTGTCACAACCCAATTGGACTATTGCAATGCACTCCATGCTGGGGTCAGCCAGGCCTCCATCTCACGTCTCCAGCTCGTTCAGAATGCTGCTGCTTGGCTTTTGACCAGAACTCGTAGGTCTGAACATATTACACCGGTTCTGTTCTCCCTTCACTGGCTCCCTGTTCGTACTAGAATAGTCTTTAAAAGTCTTCTGTTGACCTTCAAGTGCCTAAATGGCCTCATATCCCTTTATCTCTCCGAGCTACTGGAACCATACGTTCCCTCTCGGGGCCCTGAGATCATACGATCAGCTGCTTTTGGCTGTTCCAAAAACAAGACTGAAGCTCAGAGGAGATTGGGCATTTTCAGTCATGGGCCCCAAACTCTGGAACAACCTGCCCCCCAACATCAGGCAGGCCACCTCCCTTCCTCACTTCAAATCTCTGCTAAAAACACATCTGTTCTCGCAGGCATTTCACACAGTGTGAGTTGATTTTATGTTTTTTTTGTTCTTTGTTCATATGTTTTAAATGCTTTTTATTAATTCTGCGGTATTATCATTAGTGTACTGTATTTATTTTTTTTCATTAATTTTACTCCCATTGATGTTATTGTTAAGCACTTTGATAACAGTATCTGTTTTAAACGTGCTCTAAAAATAAAGTTGACCTGTCTTAAGAACATACATGTTTTTCTCATCTACTAATTTAGTCAATTTATCATCTGTTTTTCCTTGAAAAGTCTGTAAGACACTTGGGAAGCAGCAGCATGTGATTCAGAGGAAGTGAGAGTCCTTTGGTAGCTGAGGCTTTCTGTGTTTGTTAATTGCTTGAGTTTAGTGAGGGCATGCTTAATGAACCTCAACGTTGGAGGCAGTTTGGCCGTCATTAATCTTACGTCCCTCACAATTCTTCATTTTGAAATGCCATAGCCTATTTCTTAGAAAAAAATATTGTGCGTCTATGAGGATAATGTGTCAGTGTTATGCAAATCAAGGAGGATGCAGAACTAAGCAGAGTCAAAATAAGATGTGATTTTTTTTTTTTTTTTTTTACACTATTAGGAAGGGTACCGTGAACACAGATTCCTGGAACTTGTATAGATCAGGTACAGGTCAGTGTGATGATTTGAAGGTGGATGGTAAAGATGAAGTAATGGTGACTCTCATTGTGGAAGAAAAATGTGAAATTGAGTCTGCAGCAAAATAAGCATGTCCTGTGAGGCAGCAAGTCACCTTTCATGCTGTATGATTCTGGCTCTAATCCTGTTCCCTTTCACTGTGCAGCAACATACTATTTTATTTACCCTTTGTATTTTGTTTGATCTTTATTTTCTGTCATCATCATCAATTATGAATAAACGATTTTAAGAGGTTTTTATTCCCAACACTTCATTCGTCTGGTGCAGTGTTGAAAGTAAAGACTTCAATTAGAGGGAAGAGGATGCTTGATTTGCGTTGAGCAGCATAGTTTGGTTTGAGTTGTTTGCTGAGTTGGGTTATTTTTGAAATGAGGACAATGAATGAATACAGGGTGGGGCTGGTATAATGGTAAGTATATAATAATAGGACTTTTTGAACAATGAGACCAAGTCTTGGCACAAAAATTTATGTTAAAATTACATCCGTCTATCTTTATCCGCTTCTTTCTTTCTGGGCTGTGGGTGCCCATATCCAGCAGTCACTGTGCAAGAGGCGTGGTTCACCCTGGGCATGTCACAAGTTCATCATAGAGCTGCACAGAAACAAAGTTCACACTCTCATACCTCAGATTGGTTCTTCTCATCCTGAACATTTCATTGCATTGTTGTTGACCTAGTGTTAACCTGCATATGACAAATAAACAACATACTGTAACCTAAGGACAATTTAGATGGTACCATGCATGTTTTTGATCTGTGGGAGGAAACTGGAGTACCCGGAGAAAACCCATGCATGCACGGAGAGAACATGCAAACCCCACCCAGAAAGGCCCCTGGACAGGAACAGAGCTGGCACTCTTCTTGCTCAGAAGCAATAACTCTACCAACTTTTCTTCTATCACTTATTGCTTTTGACTTAAAATTTGTGTTTTTAAGGATTCAAGGATTTTTTTTATTAAATCCCTACTTCGTGGTTTTTCACTTATCGTGGGACGTCAGGGTACGAATCCCCCGTGATAGGTGAAAAACCGCAAAGTAGGAACGCTATATTTATTTTAGTATTTATATATATATATATTTCAAGTTTTTATAAACTTTTCTCACTATTGCAATGTTCTTAACAATATTCTAAACTCTTAAACTTACATGATTTTCACAACATATGTATATGTAATGTATGGTACTGCTAAATTTTACATCGGTACTCACAGCTCTGCAGACCAGCTGCTCGGTTCCAGTCAGGCTTGGTTCTGGTTTGGCAGAACTACCCTGCAGCGATGAAGCCCACCGCCCCATCCAGGTTGATGTGCGCCTGGATAATTGAGCTTTTGGAAGCTTCAGGATTATTTGTGACTTTCCTGCCAGTTCTGTGAGCTTAATAGATATATCATTACTTCTGACTTTGCGTTGCAAAACTTTCCCTCCATTTCGGCAAAAGGCAGCGGCCAGAAGCACTGTAGACTTCTGGACAGTGTAGTTCTTTTGACTTGCGTTAAAGTATAGGCTTATTGAAAGAAAACTACAAATGACGGCCCTGTCCAATGTACTTTTTTCCATTAACTTTTTATCCCAAACTGTCCCAGTCACGAGTAATATAAAAGTTGACAATCGTGTGTCGTGTTTAGTCTTACGTTGAAAAACCATGAAAGAGCGAGTCCGCAAAAGTCTAATCGTGAAGTAGCGAGGGACTATTGTATATTTATGGGGATAATGTGTATCCATTCAACCTTTACAATACAAGTTAGTCCCATTAAGCCTTGGGGACTCATTTACAAGAGAGACCTGTATAGTATAGTATAGTATAGTATAGTATAGTATAGTATAGTATAGTATAGTATAGTATAGTATAGGTCTGTGCACATTTTGGGCTTGAAAGTGTTGACACAAAAAAGCCTTCATAATACATAGACAACTTTGTCGATTTCTCTTGTGTTTGTTCTTGTTCGTAGGAATTGTGGCAGTTCTGTTTTGTGGCTTGAGCCAGTCAAGGTACACAACTCGTAATTTATCACAAGAAGGCAGGACAAGGACCAAGCAGGTAGGTTTACATAAAATCACTAAAGCCATGTTAATGCTGTTTTAAAGCACTTTTTTCATTTACTTGTTCATGTGACCTTTTTATGCCAGCATCTTTGTTTTTTTATTGTGCATAGAACCAGTTATTAACTGCCATTAGTGTTATTCTTGTCCAGTGGATTGTCTGTGTGGGAGACCAGTCTCCAGCTATCTGCTTAAAAGCCTGAGCACAGATGGAGGCCAGCACTTTGTCATACTGAGCCGGCAAGCTTCACAGAGGCAGAAATAAATCAAAGTATACACGTATCCTCATCTATGCATTTATTATTCATTATCAGTGCCACTGTGCAGCCGTTTATCACAGAAAAGCTTTCCGAAAGGTGAAGTACATTGGCTTTGAAATTGTTTTTGCATATAGTAAAGTGTGTTTACTGGCAGAATGCCTGTATTTATATTTTGATGAGCTGTAGCTAAAGTCTAATGATTTATGGTTTAAAAACTGTAGTTGAATAGCTAGTTAGATAAGTATTTCTTCTGTGGCATTCCTGACCAGGAGAAAAATAACTTAATTTAATTAAGACTTTCTGTAAAAGCTTGAAACTAAAGCTGACAATGTTGATGGGAAAAAAAAAAAGAGGAATCATTACTAGCACCATAACGTCTGCTCTAATATTCCTCTCTTTAAGAATCTTGATAGTTAATATTATATATAAAGAATGCCTTTATAAAAGTTTTGTTTGTTCTTACCTAAGCAAATGAAATCTTATTCTTCATTCAACTTAGATCAACACAAGTCTAAAATAATGAGTTGTAGCAGTTTTATAATATGAAATGTCATGAGAAATAACTTGACTTTATAAGAAATGACTTAAGGAAATAGTATTTTTTAATATATCCAGACTGTTCTTTTCATTTATTTTTATTCGCTTTGACAACCAGCATGTGAAACAATATATTTTACTAGATTTTTTTTTTTTTTTTTAAAGACAAAAACAAATCTGGCATTAAATGCAAATAATAGTATGCCCTCAGGCTGCAGACATGTGCAGCTACTACCTCAAAAGGAATAACACCAGCATCACATTTGTCGTGTTTATACAAATCTAAGCCTATTTACTCATTTTTGTCAGGATCAGAGTTGCTCACTTCTACCCTGCTAGTCAGACGCATATATTCTGCTTCCTAATACACACATGTGCACACACACAAGTTATGATTTGTAGAGAGAAGTTAAATCGTGACACCTCACACAGACATGTAACAAAAGCAGATGTTTCAGTAGAAAAATGGCACTGAGTAGAAAAAAAGAGAAGGATGTTAACATTTTCTCATAGCAGTTCTTGCAAAAATGCTGTTTTTTTTTTACTTTTACACCACTGTCAATTTTAAATGACATTATTTTGGCAGCAATAATATGACATATTGGAGTGAAAGGCCCCAGGTTTTAATGGCAGTGTCCACTTTCACTGTCACCTAACTATTCATGCAACAGAGATTTTTGTTTTCTCCACAGAGGAAGCAAATACAATTGGAGAATTGCATTTCCTATACAAATGCAGTGTGAATGCTTATTGCAGAAGAACATGCTGAAAAACAGTTGAAATTAGCTAAAAACGTGCTGAAATGTGGCTGAAAAGAAGAACTAGCCAAAAGTACCAGAAGAAAGCAAAAATAACAAATTTTTGCTGAATTAGGTTTTAAAAAGCAGAAATTAATACAAAAAATGGGAAATGAGCTAAAAAAAGCTAAAATTAGCAAAAATAACTGAAGTATCTCAAAAAACAGAAAGAAGCTTAAACTACCAGAATGAAGCAGAAAGAGCTGAAATGAGTAAAAAAACAAAAAAACAAAGTAGAATTATCTGAAAAAGCTAATATTTGTATAAAAACAGCTAAATTGCAGCTGAAATAGTAGAAACTAGCTGAAAAAAGCTGAAACAAGCATAACAAGCTGAATTTAGCATAAAATAATTTGCCTGAAAGTAGCAATAATTACCACGAAAAACTTGAATTTATATGAAAACAGCTAAAATAGCTAAAAAATGCAAAAAGGGTAGCTGAAAAGTTAAATTAGCAGAAGACAACAGAAAGAACACATTTACCCAATGAGGCTAAAAGAAGCAGAAATGAGCACAAAAAAATTGAAATTATCTGATAAAGGCTGAAATTAGCACACAAAAACAGCTGCAAAGTAGCTAAAAAGGCAGAAAGAAGCTGAAGTCACAAGAAAGAAATGGAGAGCACATTTTTGTTGAATTAGGCTGAAAACAGTTTAAATGAGTGCAAATAATGTGGAATTAACTGAAAAAGCTTACATTAGCATAAAAAACAGCTAAATAGTAGCTGAAATATCATTCTTCTCCTGAAAGAGCTGAACGTTTTGATGTATGATTTGTTGAAATAGCTTGAAAACTGCAGGATGAGAATCACTCCGAAAAATGTACAGAAGGAAAACTGATCACAATTGTGTGAATGCTGCACGAGTATTCACACAATAAGTAATGGATTAAAATATTCTGATGCACACGGCACATACACCCCCTCTATACCACACCCCCATCTCTTGACCCGCTCCCTCATGATTCTTTTAATCTCTTTATAATTTGCAGCTCTTTGAAGTCTTCAACTTCCTCGGGGAGATTTTCATCTTCAGCTACATGGGTTATATATGGTTTACGTTTCCTCAGCACGTCTTCAGAACTCTCTTCATTTTGGGGGCATTTGTATCCTTTTCTGCTTCGTGATGGTCCAACTTCACCTCCTGCTGTGTAGTGAGAACTCGCCCTGGTCTACTCTGCTCAGCTTTCTAAACCTCTGGTCACGTTCCTATTTCCAACTCTTACCACATATTAGATTATCGTTGTTTTCCTGTTTTCAGTTTTGAATCTTTGCTCAGCACTCTTATTTCCACAGCTTTTAAGAGCAACTCAGAGCTTAAAACGTTTGGATTTGTGAGCTCAACATTCAACCGGCTTCTCGTGCTCATTATGCTGCAGATTTGCATCCCACAGTAAACCATCAGTTTGTGGACACCCGTGAACACAAACTTAAACAGGCCATTTATTATAATTACTGCAGCTTGTTTTCCATTTTCTAGGAAAAAACTCTGTGGAATAAAAATGTTTGCTGTTTGAAATTAGCATACAAATGTTTCATTTGTGCTGCAACACAGGCTGTACCCCTGTGGCAAAAGATAATATAAAGGTAATAAAGATAATATCATTTCCAGACGCTTCAGTGAAAATGTTTGAACATATTCCTGATGATTACAAATAGAATATACACTAAAATGCTTTAAAATACCCAACATGGTCTTCCTTGTCCACAAAGCTGATAAGGCCTTATTGATTCTCAGTCTTTCTTCTGGTTTAGCTTAACCACAGCGTTCAACTCATGGCTCATTTGTTCACTTCAGCCTAAGATGCAACAATAATGTGCTGTTTTATTAACTGTATGTTTAAAAAAAAGAAGAAAAGAAGCATGAGTAATTGTTTTACCAGGAATTTGACTAAGTGACTTTGGTTTTTTTACTTTCTGTCCTGATCTGTTGCTAGTTTGAACACAAATGCAGGCAGGACTCGGCTGACTCAGAAATAAAGCAAATATATTTATTTAAACAACACAAAACAACAGCTGACGTGGCAGCAAAACTTGCATCTTATCTATGAGGTGGCGCGGAGGGAGAGCAGGATATGACACCAAAGAGGACAATCTACGGACACTGAGAAGAGAACAAGACTCCAAATAAATAGGAACACCCGTGACTGACAACGAGGGACACCTGGAGTGATTAAAGTAGAGGATAGGTGTGTAGGAGCTGGAAAGACACAAGGGTGACAAGCAACAAACACCCATCCTTACATGATGAGAGTATTTACTGAAAACAACCATCTATTTTTTCCCTTGTGCTTATGGTCGATTTTGTCTGCTGTGTTTTGGACACCGCCCTTTGAAAGCAGGTTTTATTTTGACCCATGGATTGTGACCTGGCGGATCATTATGGACTGATACAGATGATTAATTGTACATTGCATAGTTAAGTGGACAACCATAAATTGAGCCACGAGCTTCAGCTTTATTCTATTTTTAACCCTTCATTATAATTGTCTCCAAATAACAGCAAATCTTAAAAAAAATCACTTATATTAAATACTTTTCTTCAAAAGATCAGTTATATTTAGTGTCTTACATTAAAACCTTTTGTGTATGTTCTCAACAAGTCAACAGCTCCTGAAGGATATTAAAAGTTAAAGTCCCCTAACAAAAGGCTCATGTTCATAACTGCTATCAGTTTTTATTTATGAAGGACATGGATGAGTACTTAAGGACTGCTGGCTATCCATTGTACAATTGTCCTTTCTAAATAGCTGCTATGACTGTAGGGTACGCCAGAAGAGACTTTAGTGGCTGTACTCCAAGGAGCTGTTCTTTCACAGTCCACTGCCCAGATGGTCTGCAATTATTATTACAATCCATTGTCTTTCATTGGGTCAAAAGGGCCAGAGCAAAGCATGGCCTGAGCAGATTTTTTCAGAGCTCTTTTCAGATATGAAAAGGCTGCAAACTGAAAAATATCTGACTCGAACCTGATTGTCTTCTGTTGTTCCTCTTTAACAAAAGGCAAAAGTTCACAAAAATGTAGCCAATGGCCCTGACTGAAAGATGACCTGGATGTACAAACAGGTAGAAATGGAAGTCGGAGTCATCCCACGGAGCCATAAACGTGTCTATAAAAATGAAATAACCCCACTGATTCAACCTTGTTAATCGCTCTTTGGCTATTCACTAGATTTTAATCGCTGCACCTTGCAGCCTTTGCCGGTGACAATGGAGATTGGCTGTATTGGAAACGAGGCTGAGATGAAAGTGCTTAATTACCTCCATTCAAATAGCTCTGAGGCCTTTGATAAAGAGAGATGACTGCTTTTGGGAGCAGGATATTACTTTTGAAATTCCATAGGGTGTACAAGATTTAATATTGACTGCGGGAAGCGAGGGAACTCTGTTTTAGTAATAGCCCTGTCAGTGTAAGGTCCCCAGCCGAGGATATTGGCGCTTTTATTATTTCTTGCATCATATTTGGTTTTTTATTTAGAATGAATGCAAGACCATTTTGTCCATGGTTCTACAGTTTCCTGTCTGCATCTGTAGCTTTAATGTAATTTTTTTTAGTGGAGCTTAAAACATGTGCCTGGTGCAGTTATTAGTTTACTCTGGTCTCACTGTAGATGGCTCCAAAAATGAGTTACAAGGCAACCTCTGCTTTAAATGAAGTTAGAAGGTGATATAGAGCAACTATAACTTCTTCTAAAAGTTTGACAAAAGACATTAAGTGTCTCTAGAACTGCAGCCGCGTTCCCAGTAATTGCCCACCTATCATCTTCGTCGCTGCCGCCCCGAACACTTAACATTCAGTCCCATCCTGTGTGAGACATCAAAGTGGGAGTGTAGGGCAGAGACAGCCGGTATCGCCTGATTGGTTTCATACCTCGGCATGGTGCCATACTGCTGTGTTTGCATACAAAACACATGCTTTAAATAAATCTCTTTGTTATTTTTATCTATGGCCTCGTGTGCATGTTCATTAGGCAAGAACTTCAAATGACATCTGTAAAAAAAAAAGCAAGACTGCATAGCAATGTTTAAATTTTATTTTATTTTTTAAAATGCAACAACATACTTTGTAGATTGTGCAAAATGTAATGCAAAAAGAAACATACGGTACTTTGTTAATACCAAATTAAACAAAAAGGCATTAAACAGTTATTTAGGTTATTTTATTTTTATTTTTAATTAAAATGCATTTATTCTTTTATTGCTCTGTTTTGTTTTTTGTTTTGCGTTAGTATTTGCTGTGAACCTTTTCTGATTTGTCGAGTATTAAAAATGTAAGAGTTTTTTCAAGAAATGCTCGCTTTTTTATTCTTAACATCTTCAGAACAGTTTTTCTGGAAGCATTAATTTTGATCATTTTAGTTTTGTGTTCGTTTCCTTATTTATTGTAATATTGTAGTGTATATTGATGAAATCTTAAATCACAAATCAAACAACAACAATTTGTTGTGAGATGAGGTTTTTTTTGTTTGTTTTTTTTAAATATTGGAATAATTTGCATTAATTTAATAACCGTTAGTAGGTGTCCAAGCGTTGCAGCCATGTTTCCATGCTTCCAGCAAAATGCAAACTTGGGAACTCTATTGAAACAGTTTAGTTTATTATTATTAATATTTTGCCTTTATTTCTGTAAACTAATGTAAACTAAAATTATTATTTATTCAAAAAAGCATCTCTATATCAATAAAGATGTAATAATCATGCCATTCTAAATAAATTTGTTTTCTGTCTTTTGACGAAGTCTGCCAGGTCCTCGGAGGCTTTAGGAGGAAGGAGGTGCCAAAGCAGCCAAATCAATTTTTTCTAGTTACTTTTTTATTGCATATTACAACATTTGAGCGTTTTTGAAAGAAAAAACTACTTCAACTTGGTAATTTGTTCATGTTTTCCTTAACCACAGTCAATCCCTAGTTATCCATCTTTATTTCAAGAGCATGCAACATCTACCCTTTATCTTTCCTGCTAAACCTCGGTCGTTCGAACAAGATATCCCCCGCCTTCCAACACTTCATGCTGTTTTCAGGTACTGTTTCCTTCTGCTCTTCTCTTAGATACGTTTATAGATCACTGCTCTATTTCTGTTTTTTCTATTGAAGAAGAGGAAATAAATGATCTTGTTTTAGTATTTGTGACTGGTTGGCACCATGTACATTTTGAAGATGCAGCGTAAAGATTTATTTTGCAATGTGATGTGGAATGACTTCACAGCAGCATGCTCCTCTGCTTACCTGACCCACTTTTGTCCTTATGTAAGAGAATGTATTTGTAAAAAGCCCTTATTTAGCTATTTTACTGAATTTATCACAACTTGCATCTCCCCTGTCTTGTTTCCCATAGGAAAAACTGATTCCCTGTGGAAAATGTTTTTCCTTTAGGTGCTATTATCACTGTACAAAAAATTGTTTTAGGGCTATTTGTTGTCCAGCAAGTGGACATTGATGGTATATCAATGGGTATCTTGGTCGACTCACATCTTTCTTTTAAGCTCCATGTGGAAAACTTGGTAAAGAAACTGAAAATTAAACTGGGTTTCTTTTTCAGAAACAGATCCTGTCTAACCCTGAATGCTAGAAAACGCCTTGTATCTGTGACTTTCCTTCCCTCAATTGATTTTGGTGATATTATTTACATGAACGCTCCTACAAGAACCCTGCAGATGTTGGATGCTGTCTATCATGGTGCACTAAGATTCATAACTGGCTGTGATTATCGTACCCACCACTGCACCCTGTATTCATTGGTTAACTGGACATCATTAACTTCACGCAGACTCTCTCACTGGTACATTTTCATCTTTAAATCACTTCTTGGTCTGCTGCCTTCATACATCTCCTCCTACATGTCTCTGCGTGAGTGCAGCTACGGAGTGCGCTCTCAGGACATTATTACCTGCAGTGTTCCCCCAGTGAGGACTGAACTAGGCAAAAGGGCCTTCTCCTACTCCGCTCCTGTTTCCTGGAATATCTTACAAAAAGATTTGAAGCTCTCGACCTTGACCTCTCTAAGTGGCTTTAAGAATCTGTTGGACTCCTGGCAGGGACCAATGCAGACATGTTCCTGTTTTTAGTTTTATACATTTGTCTCGGAATCTAGCAGTTTTTTTGGTTTTGTTACCTTTTTCCTTTTAGCCATCCTATTTGTTAAAAAAAACAAACAAAAAAAAACTGTAGTATGAGTTTTTATAACTGCTTATTGTTGTTGCTGTTGTCCATTGTTGTCATCTTTCTTTGTTGAAATCAGGTCTCTCTTGTAAATGAGTCCTCGAGGCTCAATGGGATTTACCTGTATAAATAAAGGTTGATTGATTGATAGTGATAGGCTGTTTTCCTTTGAGTAGAGTAATTATTTAGATTGCTTTTTGTTGCCTGTCTCAAATTACTGGCTGCTTGATGGTTGCCTGGTGGTTTGATTGATGGCTTTAATTGACCTATTTTGACAAAGTCTTGTTTTTCTTTCCTCAGGTTTGAGGGGGGTGGTTGCTTTCAGCCTGGCCATTAGAGACACATCAACAGTAGCAAAGCAAACCATCCTCACCACCACACTGCTTCTGGTGGTCTTTACTGTCTGGGTGCTGGGTGCGGCTGCCGATCCCCTGCTGCACTATCTGGACCTCAGGTTAGTGCATCAAGTTTGACACAAATCATCTCACCATTTTTTCATATTTGTGCCCTTTGCCTGTTTATGTCATGCTTACAAAGTCAGAAAGATTCATGAGACACTTGCTCATATTCATCTCTGTTATTGAGGTTTCTACATGTTTGAGTTCAGCCTCTTGCTTAGCTTTTTAGGTTCTGTATGCATGTTTCAGCTCGGTCCACATATATGGCATGAAAGTTCCTCATAGCATGTTGCAAAGCAGCTACACAGAACTGTAGCTTGCTGTCCTATTCACATTAAATACAAGAATAAAAATATTAGATAATATGTTGCACATAATGACAACACACAAGGAGGCTGCTAATTTTCCCTTTAAAGTCTGGTTGTAGTCTGTGATTTAAGGCCAGTGGGCGATAATGATTGAGGCGCGCAGAAGAGGCGGGAAGCTTGCAAGGCGGTAATTAGTTACTTATATTATTAAAGTGCAATCTATGGCCTAGATCACTGTGGCATAATTGACTCCCAGAGTCTTTTGAGACAACTTGTGCTCTGCCTGTCATTATGACCTGATAAATCAGCTTGGACCACATTTGAATATCTAGTTATTGGGTCAAAGTAAATGTTTTTTTCTTTATTCAGAAATTTTAAAGATAAATAATACAGAATGTAAGTAACACTAATGTGGAGAATGAAACCCTACAGTAAATAAAAAAACCTAAATAAATAGATTCAAAATTATTAAATTCCAAAAATGTATCATACCATACCGCTTTATTTACAAAGCGCTTAAAACGGCAACGAGACAAACCAAAGTGCTGTACAATCGAAACAAGCAAAGTGCAGAGCAAAAAATAAGAAACAAAAAAACATGGATCCAAATTGAAGAAGATAATAACAACTGGCTAACATTGTAGAATACAGACAGGTTAAGAACAATCACACTGTGTCAAAAGCCAGGGAATAAAAGTGGATTTTTAAATGAGACTTAAACAGTGAGAGGGGGAGCCTGCCTGACATGCACTCATTCCACAGTCTTGAACCTGCAACAGAGAAGGCCCTGTCAACTCTGAGCTTAAGATGGGTTCCTGGAACCAATAGAAGCATCTGATTTGCAGTCCTCAGAGAACGCTGTGGGACATATGGCTGCAGCAGATCAGCGAGATAAGAGGGGGCAGAAATGTTCAGTGATTTAAAAACATACAGAAGAATTTTGAACTGAATTCGAAAGTGAACCGGGAGCCAGTGCAAGGAGGCCAAAACTGGTGTAATGTGTTCTCTTTTGTCTATACTGGTTACAAATTGGGCTTCAGCAGTTTGGACCAGTCATAAATGTGCAATGGAGGTATGACTGATTCCAGACAGAAGCGCACTGCAGTAATCAAGCCTGGATGTTATGAATGCATGTAATACGGTCTCAAGGTTATTTTTGGACAGTATGGGCTTCAATTTAGACAGTCACCTCAACTGAAAAAGCATGTTTTAACAATCATGTTTACATGACTGTTACGTTTCATGGAAGGGTCCATTGTCACTCCCAGATTAGTGACTCTGTTTCTCTAGCGGGGCTAGAGAGGAAAGGTCAATACAGTGGTTCTTGATTGTGCCATTATGAGGAAACAGCATGACTTCAGTCTTCTTCTCATTAAAACAAGAAATTTAAAGTCATCCAGTCCCTGATGTAGGCCAGGCAGTCAAGAAGAGGTTAAATAGAACATGCACCACTGTGCTTCAGAGGGAAGTAAATTTGACAGTCTTTGGCATAGAAATGAAAGGGTATATTATGCTTACAGAAAATGGCACCTAGTGGCAGCAGGTATATAGAAAATAGAAGAGGACTGAGGATTGAACCCTGTGGTACCCCCACCGAAGAGCTGTCGATGTTGAACTAAAGTCCTTGATGTTGACACAAAATGTTTTGTCAGAGGTAGCATCTAAACCATTTGAGGGCTGACACTGTGATGCCTACACACTGCTTCAGCCAAAAAATGAGGTTCTCATGGTTGATCGTGTCAAAAGCAAATATAAGATCCAATAGGATAAGCAGCACAGAATCACCTGCATCCGTGACTAGGAATATGTTTAATCATAATAAGCACTTTGTAAATCACAATAAAGACTAATTTACTCATAAATATAATAGTAAATCCATAAATATTATAGTAATATTTAGTTATTAAAGATTAAAGATTAAATTAAAGATTCAGTTGAGATGGGATTTAAAATTATTCATATGTGAGACCCCTATTATCGTCATGAATGGAGTCTCACAGCTGATTGTCTCTGACTGACGGAACAAGGTTGCCTGTAGTTCAGGACCAGAGATCTGCCTCGTCATGCTAGCTTTTCAGAAACCCTAGAGCACAAACGTTAAAACAATGAAAACACATTTTCCCAAAGAGAAAACGGAGAACACAAAGTCACTCATCAAGTGAAGCGAAACCTGGAGCAACCCTGTTGTTAATAAATTGCTGACTCTTTTTGGTAACTCAATCTGTTTGAGGACGTCTTTACGTCCAAATAAGCCTGCTCTTCACCATTGTGAAGCAAACAAAGAGCCAGTATCGGAGGAAAATCCATCTGGAGATGGAGTTCGGTTTGTTATATTTTTTTTCTTTGTTGTCTTTAGACCTTATCTTATCTTTGTAGGACTGAGCTGTATGCAGTCTGAGATTATGTGCCGTAACTTCTAACTTCTTTCAAAATCTGCTTCTTCTCTGAATAAATCTCTAAACAAAGCTGTCCATTCATGGTCATAAATCCAAACAATGAATATGGTTTTCTTTACAGTTTCGGTTTCTGTGGTGGCTGATTGAGCTGTTGTCCTGCTTTTCATCCTCTAACACTGAGAGCATACAAACACTTCTGATTCATTCATGAGCATTATTGTTCCTTTTAAAAATCTCACAAACCTGTCAAACCTTCTGTATACCTTTATAACGCTTCAGATTAGACATTAAAATTTCTCACTTCTAGTTAAAACAGACTCTTTAAAGTTAAGAAATATCTAAATACAATCTGTCAAATGTTAATCTTGTGAGTTCCATGGTAGAGATTTGTCACACAAATGCAGGAGTTCCTTAAATGAAACAGTCAGCATTCACGTGTGCCTTTGTGGAAACCCAATTAATCATAGCTTTACTACATTTAAAATAAAACGGGCATGCTGGTCCTTGAAATTCCAGAGCGAGCACCAAGAGAGGAAAAAAAAACATAAAACAAAGCTGCACGTTTGTATTGTAAACATCTTTAGCATTTTTTGCATGCAGTTTAAATGAGAATTTTAGTAAGACACTTGTCTTTTTTCTGTTCCTGTGACTGTGCAGTCTTTTTTTTAGATTATTTCATGTCTGGAGCGCTCTACAATAAAGTGTGGCAAGCCTTCTGGGTTATCACGGTTCAGAATACAACTTTGTTCTCTTTAATTTCTTTCCTATGCCACTTTTTTAATGTCCCTTCGCTAAATTATCATACAATAAAAGGATGTGTACCAGTTAAAAGAAAGTTCATTTTTAGTGAATTATACACTCTGATTCTTCACCTAGAGAAAAGTCTTACTTATTTTTTAAATGGTTTTGTGGAAATCTGAAACTTGTACTTTGTGTCAAATTACTTTTGTATTAATGGTGGGAACCGAAAGTATAATGCTCCATCTGAGATCAACAGGTCTTGACAAGGTGGGACTTTCCACCTTGAATGTAAATAAATAATTAAATTAATACAGTAAGTCATATTGTACAGTCTTACATGTCCATTTTAACTTTAAACAGTTCTACAAATCATGTGTGAACAGTAAAGTTCGATAAGCTCCAAAACTACAAAGTATATCTTTGTTTTTTTTGTTTTTTTATTGGAAAAGTTTGTTAATTCAGCCTAAACTTGATGCACAATTCAAAGGCAACATAAATCTGAATACTATCTCCAAATGTGAAAATATAAAATAAATAAATAATTAAACCCTCACACATTGTCTTTCACCTTGGAGAATGCTACTGTTCTGTTTATACTTACGTAAATGGTGCTCGTTTATAAACTGGTGTCAGATATATTCAGGTTTATTAGACACTTGGGGCATATTAAAGTGAACAAATTTAATCCCTTTCTGCTCTCCATACATCCAACGTTCAGCTTTTGTTCTTCCTGTTCACACAAACACTCAAGTTTTTAGCTTCTCAAACTCTGAACTAGCTGCTCATGTTTATCTAGAATTTTAATTACAGTAGTCCCTCGTTTATCGCGGGGGATCAGTACCCTGAAGAACTGTGATAAGTGAAAAACTGTGACATAGGAATAGTAGTACAAGTAGTAAGTAGTAGTTTATTTTAGTATACAGTATGAATATTCTAAACAATATTTCTAAACTCTAAATGCTCTAAAAGAGCACAGAATGTAATGATTTAAGCCCTCTGCCTCCACTGCACTCTGCCACCTGCCGTTCTTGGCCACGCCCACTTCTCCGCTGCAGAGCGGAGATTGGAATTGCATTTGGGCCCCAATGATCCAATCCGACCCGGCCCCAGCCTGCAGTCATCATTTCCGAACCTCACCCGACCCGACGAATTAACAGTAATTACAGGTCCGAACCTGGAAAAAACACGACATTTTTAATTAGTTATTAACGATCAGCGACGCACAGCTGAATTAAAGGGACAGAAGATCGGAGCTTAGTGGGTGTTTGCCCTTTTATGGCCATCAAAGAGCATTTAATCCCTGCTTCTACCTGCATTCTGATTTAGTCAGACATGGACCGCTCTGACACGTCTGCTTTGGGATCTCACCTGTTTGGGTCATCGGCCGTGCACATCCGCTGAGTGCAGTGGCTGAATGAACGTCCATTTGGGCGTTGGGTCGCTTCCTGGCAGTATAGTCCCATATGAAGTTTAACTGAACTTTTTATGTCTTTCAAGGCTGGTCAGCTCACGGTGAAATGACCACGTGCGGCTGGTGACTGTATGGCAGGAATGTTATCATATAATTGGATCGCGGCTGATCCTGACCCTATCAAAAGCCTGACACCGACC